CCTACCAGTTTTGACTAATGTATTATTTGTACTGCTGAAGAATAACAGTCCTGTTTATTTTGCGCTCCCCAACACAAAAACTAGATCTAATACAATCTTTTGGGGTCCCGTGTCCCGATTTTGGTGTCAGTATTTGTAAGTTACGTAAAAATGTGTCAGCATACTGCAAATTGTTATGCTTCAAGAAAAACAAAATAAGAAAACGGGGATGATGATGATGATGATGATGATGATGATGATGATGATGATGATGATGATGATGGCGGTAACGATGATAATGCTGTCATGTTGGAAATTATGTGCAAGTTAATCTTGGTGTCAATTTATTTCTTCGTTTGACGCTTACTCCAGACCCCCCACCCCTACCCCCACCCCACCCGGATGTCCGGGGAAGCAGGACAGAACCCCCATTCCCTACTTCGTGGGTGGTTGGTGGGTGGTTGGTGGGTGCTCTGGTGTGGTTTGCTTCTTCTTTCCGATCAAAACGTCTATCGTCTTTATCTCCCCTCCTTCTTTTTTTGTGTTTGTTACTCTCTTGTAATACCTCTAATCTTCGGCACTTATATGACCTTTTTGTGTTGCAAGTGCCGTAAAACACTTACTAAACCACACACAAAATTCCCAACTTCTCGCATAGAGAGGCCAGAAATTTGGAAATACGTGAGTACGAATACATATTAAATCAAGTGCTTTATTGTTGTTTGTTTATTTTCTTATGAGTAGTAAATGATGGGGTTTCACAAAGTTACTTCTCGGTCGACTTGCGTGCGTCTGTGTGTATTTCGGTCTGTGTGGGCTGCCTCCCTAAACACTTGTACAGTTCTTGCCTGTAGCTGCGGTTGAATTTGAGATAAACGAGCATGTTGAGGGAGGAACAGGCGGCAAATAGACAGAGACGAGCGGATCCTGACAAGGCATACAGGTAGCCCAGACGACGGAAGTCGTTAAATTCTGGCTCCAAGAACGTAGCATACGTCACGCACACAGATGGTAAGTTGCAGACGACAAACATGGCGGCCACTAAGGTTGTAGACTTTACCGCTTGTAAACTCCGCCCAGACAAGTGAACACTTGGTTTCTTAACACCGGATTGTCCTTTAGAGGTGGGGTCGTCATTTCCTGCTCGTGATGTTGAGCCCCGGAAGCGGGAGGACTCTCTCATCTTGATTACAATGATCGTTAGACAGACGATGATGATGATCTGGGCGGCGGTAGGCAGAACGTTCTGGATAAATGCGTCAAAAGCTTCCATGATTTGTCGTCGGTTTTCTCCGAACCATAGAACCACCCGAGTTGTGTTGGAGCGAGGGTCCCACTTCTCCTCAAGTCCGAATGTGGCATAGCCCGGGACGAACCAGGATGCGATGAAAACCACGAGGAGTAATATGGCGGCGACAGCCCGACCTCTCGTGAACTCATGCTGAAAGCTGAAGGGTAGGGCCACACAGAAACACTTTTGAACGGTCAGATACACCGTTATCACTATAGAGCAGTTGTAGGCCATGTGAGAGTAGCTTAAGAAACTGAACGATAGGTAGACATACGGCACTCTCAAACGGACGTTCAGGTAATTCAGAACGTTGACCAGCAGGGAGCCGAGGTACAGGAGTAAGTAGGTCAGATCAGTGAGGGAGAGCGCGAAAAAAGAAACGCTGGTGGCGTTCTCGAAGATTCCAATTTTACTGAAGACGACAATGTTACAGACGTTAGTCGCTATCCCAAGTGACGAAATACTCAAGTTGATAACAGTGAACGCCCTCTTGATGACGTCAAAGTGCGGGATAAGCAGGTAACGAGATGAAGTCACGAAGTGAGTCAGAGTATAGTTTGAAGCCTCCATAAGGAAGCAGACTGTTTCTGTTGATGCCTAGAGCAGTAGATGTGAATAGGTAGACGGTGAGCGAGTCACTGAGCTTACGTTTAAGATGTATGTTATGGTCTTCCTATTCTCAGGCAGGACGCTACCGACATGGATACTGGTTCTTTATGGTAGGCACGCCTAAGTGAACTCCTTCAGCAGTCGTTTGGGTATGTGTTTTTATATAGTGTACCGCTGGCTGGTAGTTATCACATAGTATTCAGACAGAATGTGGAACGGCAGCTGGCGACCGTGAGTGCAGGTGGGTCTTTACACGTCAACCTCTGAGTCAGAGATGACGCCTCTAGATAGAACATCCACTGAATGATGGGTTCAATCCCTCTAACTAGTTTGGCATAATATGACAGACTCCAACACCATTGGCAATTCAGAAAATTATAGAGAGCCCTAGAAACCACGACTAGCCCAGGACGTACGTATCGTCTTGTCATACGGCTTTGATACCACTAGCAAGGCAGACAGACAGTGATTCTAATTGAGCCACTTAACCCACGGCAAAGGTCTTATATTTTCTTCCCACAAAGTTCAAATGCTACCATCATTTTTTTTCTTGCTCAAACGAAAGTATTTTGTAGAGCACCTGAGGGGGAAAAAACCTTGTATTTTAGCAATTTAACAGCTCAAATTTTTGGGGAAAAAATATGAAATTTGTTGTAATGAAACACGCGGTAGTTATTCGAATTTATGGGCGACAGTCCTATTAGCACATTTATTCTGAAACCTTTTTTGTCAAATTGAAACAATCTGTAGTCTTTTTTGTGTTACATATCTGAAAAGCTTGTGGCAAATTAAACCAATTTGGACAATTTTTACAGCGATTCTATATCTTTCTCTGTGCGCCATTAAGAAATTTGCAGTCGTGAGGGAATGCCTGATATATTCAGTTAAAGTGTTTGCCTAATAGATTCCTTATTCTCTAAGTAGGGCATTTCTTTGAGAATAAGACCGATATAATAATAATGCTCAACTTACGTAATTAAGGTTTATTGATTCATGATACACGTAATGTTCTTTTTAAAATGGTTGCTTTCGATTGTTTCTCGATGGTTTAAAAATACAAAGGTAGAAGAAAGCTTACGCGCGCACGTACACAAACACGCAGGCTTGCACACACACACACACACACACACACACACA